TCTATTTGCAACTTTTTGAGAAAGCGCCACAATGCTTTCCACAGTGGTTGCACCATTTTACACTCCCACCAACAGTGAATAAGGGTTCCAGTCTCTCAACAACCTCACCAGCATTTGTTGCTTGCTGTTCTTCAGTACTGTGGAGAGACAGCAGACTTTCCAGTGCAATTTGTCTTTTAATTTCCTGGCTGCTGGTGTCAAGAGTGTTGATTGTAGAGCCAAACAAAATAAAGCTGTTAACAATCACAATGTCTTCACCATCTATCATGATGCTGCCAATCAGCCCAATGGGGAGAATCTTTGTTTTCTTGATGTTGAGCTTCAATCCATATTGAAGGCTGCATTCCTTGGCCTTTTGCAGTAAGTGCTTCAGGTCTTCCTCAGTTTCAGCAAGCAGGGTTGTGTCATCTTCATAACGCAGATTGTTGATGAGTCTACTTCCAATCCTGATGCCACACTTCCCCTCAGATTATCCAGCCTCCCGGATAATCTCTTCCACATATAGATTGGAAAGATATGGAGATAGGACATATCCCTGATGTACACCCTTCCTAATTTTGAACCATGCAGTGTCTCTTTGCTCTGTTTACTTCCTGGTCCAAATATAGGTTTTGCATAAGCACAATCAAGTGTTATGGGATTCCCATTCTTCTCAGAGTCAGCCACAGTGTGTTGTGATCCACACAGTCAAAATACCTTTGCATAGTCAATGAAACACAAATAGACATTCCTCTGGTACGCTCTGCTTTCAGCCAAGATCCATTTGACATTAGTTATAATATCCCTAGTACCATGGTCTCTTCTAAACCCAGCCTGAACTTCAGGCAGTTCTCTGTGCTGTACTAGCAATATTAATTTTACTAGTAAAATATTATATAATGTGACCTGCATTTTGAATTTTGAATTGTATGCAATCATGTTGTCTGGACTAGAAATACCTACACATTAATTAGGATTTTGTAATTTGTAAACCTTTTCCAAATTCTCAAGAATTAATCCTAATATGTAAATAAAGTTAGCAAAAATTTCTAAGTCACAGTTTCATCAAATAAGCAAGAGTAAATTCTAAAGAAAACATGTTATTTATATTGTAATATACCCAGCTTGGCTGGCCTTTTAAGACACTTTTTAGCATAGAAACAGCTAGGTTTTGAAAGTGAAGGAAAACCAATTGCTTAAGTGGCATTGGTTCCTGTAGTTTAATGGCTTCCCTTGTCCCACCTGTCAAACCGACATTCATATTCTCTTCTTACTAATCCCTTCTTAAAGCTAAATTCAACTTCTCCTTATCCAGGGCAAAGGTTCAGCATTAGAGGGAAAATAAGGACATCACTAACCCTGACTACTCAACTGCAACATTATTTCCACTGCTTACTATCTGCTAAGTCATCCTTTTCAGCACCTCTCAGTCAGCCTGGGCCTCTTGCTACCTATCCTTCAATAATTACAGCTGGATTTTAATATTTACAGTAACAGATACAGTGTTGTGACTAGAAAAATGACACAGCAATGGCAACTGGTAAGACTCCCCAGAAAGCT